AAATATTTCCAACATCTGAGAAAGTTGCCCAAACCATGGAATGGCCCACCGAAAAATGGTCATTATTATTACAAAATGTTTTAACTGGTAAAGCACAAGAAGCTTATGGCGCTCTCTCTTTAGAAGATTGTACGAATTATGATAAGATTAAAACAACTATTCTCAAAGCATACGAGTTAGTACCAGAGGCTTATCGCCAAAAGTTTCGAAGTTATTGCAAACAAACTAATCAAACTTATATGAAATTTGCCCACGAAAAAGAGGTTTATTTTGGTCGATGGTGCAATTCTATGCATATTGGCAACAGTTTCGACAAACTAAGACAATTATGCCTAATTGAGGAATTTAAACGTTGTGCACGTGACGATCTCAAACTTGCTTAGATGGAAAGAAAGAAAGTTGAAACACTACAGGAAGCTAAAATTGAAACAACTCGAGCTTGAACAGGCTCGAATCCAAGCCGAAAAAGAGAAAGAACAAGCTTGTATTGAAGCTGAAAGATAAAATAAACGTCTCGAAGCCGAGAAAGAGAATATAAAGGCTGATGTAATCAGGGAGGAATTTAGACCCTTTATGTCTGTTGGTTCTGTGTCTTTGACAGATGACACTGGCAATCCCATACCCATACGTATTCTACGTGATACTGAGGCGACTCAATCATTGTTGTTAAAAGGCATATTGCCATTAGATTCGAGTTCTGCCACTGGTGAGTCTGTTATTGCTCAGGGTATTGACGGTGGCTTTGTTAATGTTCCTCTTCATAACATTTATTTAGCATCAGACCTAGTTTCAGGACCAGTTGTGGCTGGATTAAGACCTACTCTGCCAATTAAGGGTGTATTATTGTTGTTGGGAAACGATTTGGCTGGAGATAAGTTGTTACCGAACCTAAAATGGTTAGTGAGCCGATCACTGCTTCATCTAAAGATGATGTTGTAGTTGAGGAGAATCCTGATGTGTTTCCCTCGTTTGCTGTGACTTGAGCTCAGGCTAAGAAATTAACCCCAAAACAAATGATAGACATGGATTCAGAGGACGATATTATAGTTTTGTCTCAGACAATTTTTGGATCCGATGAAGATCTTGTGGATAATTGTCCTACTGTTGATTCCTCAGTGAGGAACAACGATGAACGTGAGAAATCTGATTCACTCGGTGAAATTCCGTTTACTAAAAGTAAACTGATAGCTGAGCAAGAAAAAGACTTACTGATCTCTTCACTATTTAAATTTTCACTCCCAAAAGATGAACTGGAGAAAGTTCCAAATGGTTATTTTTTGAAAAATGGTGTGCTTATGAGGAAATGGAAACCACCAGATGTGCCAGCTTCAGAGGACTGGGCTATTGTTTATCAAATCGTTGTTCCAAAAGCTTATCGTTCTGAAATATTGAAAGTTGCCCATGAACTCCTCCATGGGAGGTCATTTAGGTGCCAGCAAGACGTGTGACAAAATGATGAGACATTTATTTTGGCCAAAAAATTAGGCAAGACGTTTCTCAGTTTTGCAAAACTTGTCATACCTGTCAGTTAGTCGGAAAATCTAACCGGAAAATTCCTGTTGCTCCTTTGAAACCTCTCCCAGCTTTTGAAGAACGCAAGTTCCGTCCTGAGGATATGGTCTTGGTATTTTTAATCATTATGGGATGTCTAATCAAAAAAAGAAAATTATAGAAAGAAAGAAGGAAAGAAAAAGTCAGACAGACAGAAAGAAAGAGACAGAACTAGAGAGAAAGAAAAAGATAGAAAGAGAGAGAGAAAGAAAGAAGAAAGAAAAGACGAAAGAAAGAAAAAAGAAAAGAAAAACGAAACATAAGGCTGTTACATTGCAATTTATCATTGTGAGAATATGGTTTGAAGATTATCCATATCATAAGGCTTTATAACATTTGTGCCAATGTATTTTCATGTACTATGTAATTTTACTATCATAAGGTGATTTGTATTGGTTGTGTTCTATATTCTAATGGTTATTGAAGTTGTATAATCCTTTGAATAATATATTATATTTAATGTAATGTTGTCATTATATATATAATATCTTAGTTAAAAATTGTTTAACGCCAATTTTTAATTCTCTAAGGAGGGAGTTGTAACAAATTTGTTATTATATATTTACCTTATTATCGACGTTTGTTTAGATTACTTTTGTATTTAAAAACATACATAGCTTATAGTGTTGGATATGCATTCTCCAGAGTTGTAGAAGATTCTCGAGGGGAAGAATCACCAATATATGTGTTTACGTGAACGCTTTAACTAGTATTGTTATGTAAGACTGAAATTTTTAGAATGCCTCCACACAGCTATAACTATAACCCTCGTGACGCACGAAAAGGAGAATATCTATTATTAGTTCGCTATAACCAGTGTGCTACAAACTTCGAAAGCTATAACTGTGATGTTTATAACGTTTATCAATCGGAAAATGTCATATATTTGACCAGGAACCTTTACAAAATTATTTAACTTCAGTAGATTCTCATCGGACATTAGTATTTTTATGAAAACATTACCTAACTTCAACGGTAGAAAACCTAGCGTGTGTGGCCAAGGACAAAGCTAGCTAGCTTCCCGGCTAATTGTTCTTGCATCAACTCGTAATTAACTCGATCATCGTAAACCCTCGATAAGATATCAAAGGAGTTCCAAACTAGAAAGAAGATTTTATATTGCTTGTAAGTTTGTGAAACTTTTGTTTATAAATCTTTGTTTTTAATAACTATTTGTAATAATTGTTACTGTAAATTGTATTGTTGTGTGTATATTAAAACGTATTTGTGTTAAAAACGAAGACGGTGTGTATCAATCTTGTTGCCAAATATCGTTAATTGAGTAATATATCGGCATATATTTAAATACTAAATCCAAAGTACAATTTAACTACTAAATGTAAATTATCAGTTAACTTGGCTTCGGACTATTCGAAATTCTAATACGTAACTTTGTCCCAAATATGCGGCTCGTGACCCACATCACGCCCTCAGAAGGTTGATTCGTGGCTCTCACTATCATCATATATTGCAAAAGTAAGCAAAACCGTTTTCGGAAGATGATGTGTTCCCCAATAAGCTCAAGCTCAGCCACTGGCTTTGTGATCTTTATCTGAAGTGGCCCAATGTGAAAAATAATTAAGGGTCACTTCTCTACTTTAGGGACGACTAGCGTATGTAACACTTGTGTATCTTTATGCGAATATCCGAAACGAAACAAACCATACGTCTACAGAGGTGTGCGATCGAACGTAGAGTAAGTGGACGGTGTTAAGTTGTTAAAAAATTAATTATTTTAGTAAGGTTATATTCCGAATGTTTTGTAACAAATATTAATGTCAAATTACAATCAAATTTTGTCCCTTTATTAATTAATAAATATTAAACATGGAAATAATCACTCATTTCTCATGTGTAAATAATCAAACATTAATGGTCGGTCATAACCAAACTTTTCCCATGTTTACTACTTTCCCTTAATGGTGGTTAAAAGTCAAACTTTTTTCTTGTGTTTAATAATAAGCCTTAATGCTAGAAACTTTTCTATTATAAAACTGATAGAAATCCATGGTGGTCGTAACCAAACTTTGCCCTTGTCGAAATGAATATAGACTACGCTTATACTCTACTTCTGTGCTGGGTAGTGGACATTAGCGAAGACGCATGAGAGGGTGCTGTTTTGTTCTAGTTAGTGGACATCTGACAAGAAGCATGGGAGATTGTGGCGCTTTGTTCTGGTTATTGTACATTCGAGAAGAAGTGGGGTGTGATGCTCTGATAGGTTTAATGATCACATATACTGATTCTTAGCAAAACTTTATCTCGGAGGATGATAACAATACTGAATTATGACCATATTTTATTATTCTGTCCAACAAGTGAACACATCTTTCATACTTTTACAAACTTGACGTATTTTATAATCACGTACCCAGTAAGTGAACTACCAACAATTATTGATGATAACAGCTTGATTCAGAATAAAGCTCATTCAAAAGAAGTACCCACTGAGTTTGAAGTTATTAATGAGCTAGTACAATACAGTCGTTCATTTTCAAGCCAGGTCCATTTCCTTCCAGTGGCCAGGCGGACAGCTGCTTCATGTATTTTCAGCAGATTGCCCGCTGGCCATATATCATAATTGGAACAAACGAATTACGTCACGGTGGCGTCACTTCCCGGAGGAGACCAATCAGGTACGAGCAGTCGGGCAGCCAGGTGAGAGTGAGTCCAGTGGTGATCAGTATGTGTTTGGTGTGGAGATTCTCGTGCAAGTACCTACTCGTACATCTGTATTTGATTTCTGTGTTGAGGCGGGGTCTTAGCCCGCTCTTCTGTCGCCGGATTTCAGTGAACTTTACTTCAGCTAGCATATCGTTACCAGAACATCTATGTTAACCAACACTCCAAGTATTCTCCAGATGTGCAGGTAGGAAGAAGCTTCTCTTACTTACTAGTGGTTTTGGAGCATCGCCTGGTTTCTTTCTGTAGGTGATAGGTAACAACATGTCAACTATATTCTACGAGATGTGAAAAGTGGTTTCCGGTTTAGAAATGACGTAACTTTAAGATAGAAGATGGTTAATTTTATGTGGTAAAATATCATTAGAATGAAATAAGAGGTCGTCGACAGCAAAATAAACAGACCACATGCTGCTATCCTCACATGTACACAAATCGTGATTGGATATTTCATTATATGACTCCTCGTATTGTAGTGGTCAGTAGTTATACAAGTATCGCTTGTCGATTTGAGACATGCGTTAGTCTTGGATGGGGCAGATTAATGTGTCATAATCGTCCACCTGTAGAGATGGGACCCTCAGCTGTTGCGGGTGACCTGCGTGAATTCTTATGTCTAATCTTTCCGTGTTTCTCTGGTAACTATTTCCATCTAACAATTAACCTTCAGTATTTACGTTATGTTCAGTCAAGACAATTTTATTGTGTGCAAGATTTCTCTTTTAATTCACCCTAGTATCTCTAAAGAATTTTTCTGTTGTTCCACGTCTGTTGTTTCGTTGCTTCTACGAGAATCTGCTTCCGTGAAATCATAAAAACAATTGCTACTTTCACCAAAAAAGTTGCATGCTATAGTTGCATATTTTTCACCTAGAGCTACATTTATATCTACTCAAACTATTCTGGTTTCTTTTCTGAAATGAAACAGAAATTGTTTCAGGTTACCGCTGGTTAGTTTTAAAATATGTTTGACCTAAATCTCTATTTGTCTTTCTATCTGAAACCTGGGCTCATGGCTTTATCTATTTTCGTTTCCCGTAGAATCAGGAACTGGTTTCCAGCCGTATCTCTCGTGGGATGATTCTAAAAATTGTCATCTTCATGCTTCAGCATTGTTAGGATAATTAGCTAATATTGTCATACCACGGCAACAATGTCGGTCCGCTCCAACGAATCCGCAACGAACCGTAAAGGTCGTCTGTCTTACCGAATAAAGTTGGATCTTAACGGCAGAGAAGCCAGTAAACCTGTTAGATCTTCGTTCGTTATTTACACTGATTTTGGACCGTAAACGTTTTGTCGGAATATAAAATTATTTACAATTTACACGATATGAATGTACTACTCGCTAGGTTATGCTTTCCAAATAAGACAAAACTGATAACTGAGTTTTTGGTTTTTTTTTTATGTGAGTAAATGTAATTCTAAATAGTTCTCACTGCTTCTAGATTTCCTGCCTAATTCCATTTCGTGTTGTAAGTTATGGTTCAACTTGTTATTTTCAAATATCAGACGATACCGGTTCTATTGTAATGCACACTTACCATAATACTTTAAACATAACAACATCTCGTATATCTATACATTTGCTGAGTCCGTGAATCACTACTTACGAAGCCCCAGCTGTTTATGCAAAATGTGTGAATGTAACGGTTTCATCTTTAAGTCAAGTATTTTCCTAATTGTCCTAATGATACAAGACGAGAATTTAACGATTATACTTCAACGCCCAACCCCATGTGAGATACATAACATCAGCATACAGATTCAGTTTCTTAATATTATACGTACATATTCGAATACCGCTTTTTTCTGATATTTTAATGTTTTTGTAAACATCTCTTGAGCTCATTATCTGAAAATGCAAAGTAGCAGTCAAATAATCACTGTAAATTAGTTACTGTCATGTTTTTCTGATTTGTGTGGTAACACAAGTTAGAACC